TTCTCGACAATTTTCGTAGGGAATATGCAGATCGTAGACAGGTGTAGTGTTAAACTCTCGACAGTGACGATGGCACCTAGAAGTGAAACGAACTTCTGTCGAAGGACCGCTGAAATGCGGTTTACTAGTATTTATAATAAAAGTAAATTGAGGACCGAATTGAATTGAATTGAAAGGTTGAATTCAGACAGTGGATATGGTGATTATAACGTCTTTCTTTTACTCCATTTATCCCTGGATGATTTGAGGTAGAAGACAGATTCAAGGAGAACTTTAAAACTCGGAATGAAGTTGCATTTTTAATTGAATGTGATTCATATAGTTCAGCTAAATTCCATTGAGAAAAGCATGAATAAGTTTATTGAATCAGGAATCTGATGATGTTTCTAGCGGTAGCATTTTGTTTGCTCTTGTTACAGAGCCAACGTAGATCAAGCGAGACAAAAGGGCTAAAAATATAATCGGATTCCTGATTCTTTTCCCAGACATTATTGTAGCAAAACTCACGGATCATCGTAAACTTCAGAAACTATTACTGGTTCCTGATTTGCATACCGGAAAATTTCGTTATTTGACCAGAGCATAACCATTTTGACGAAAACGTAGAGGTCGTATCTCCTTAAAAGTAAGCATGGAACTAGCATTCGACCTTTTCAATAAGATTTATATTTTGAGTATTTTTATTTTGGCCAGATTTACCTTACAGACAGCAAGAGAGCTGCGCAGTCCGGCCACCATTGTTCAATTAAGTAAACCCTGTGAATTTTGTGGCCGGTATTTTTTGTAAACAACATGTATAAAAGAAATAAACCATGCAACATTGCAACATACCAACGACACTTTTATTATTACCACTTCTCTATGATAAATGTCGCCATTAAGTTGCCAAAGAGTCACATATTCTAACGTCATCCTCAATTCATCATGAAGAAAACATTTTAATTGCTGACAGGTGACTAGCCAACTATGCTTTTTAGAAACGCTGCGCAGTAGGTCTGGATTTCGTAAAATCGCTCAAAAATTACTGCGTTAGCTATGCACTAAGCCGTCTTGAGAAATTTATAATCCACATAAAAAGCTTAGGCGTAGAAATGGCATTTCAGGTACCATGTCGGAAAAGAAAACCGAAAATGAAAAAAAAAGACGCGAGAAGAGATTTTGAACATGTAATAGTTCGATTCTGCTGACGACCCCAATGAAGTATAGGTCTGAATAGCACCGTGTATATTACTGTACATTTTTTACAGAGTATTTATCTGAACTAAAGGAAGCATTTGATCAGATGCTGATTTAAAGGACACAGACACCATTATTTAGTGATTTAACAAATGTCATTTAATCCGCTGATTTTTCCAAAAATATTTTTTTTCATGTGTTGCTTGACCAAAATCACTGAGTGCTTGGTAGCATCATTTGGCTATTAGCTGCTTAGGGCAGTCATGGCTCAATAGACTTCAGCATCTGCAGTGAAGCCCTCGTCTTCCTTCTTCCCTTTATTTACATTCCTTCCTTCATTCATTTCTTCATTTTCAAAGTTCGTCCTTCATTTAGAGTAGCGAAATGGCAGCTTCCGATGGATTCATCCATGGTCTCATATATCTGCTAATTTGGCATCCATAACGTAAATTCTAATTGGGTGGGGAGAGCGACGAAGCCAAGTATTTCATATAATCGAGTTTTTCGTATCCCATCCTGCAGTGGTTGTGTTTCACGTAACATTGCAAACAGACTCTTCCCTAAAACTGGTTCCTTGACATCCTGATTATGCGTAGAAATCAATATAATTTTATCCATTCATCGCGAACTGCGAAGGAAACGACTTCGAAAGACTTTACCGTTAGTGAAGAAGATTGCATCAACAAATTTCACAAACCGTCTTGAGCTTTCATCATTACGCAATAGAGATCACATGGGTCGGTCAGGTCATGCTTTCCGCTGTTAGCCAAGAAGACCTAACTCAACACTTTCTTTTGACACCAGATTGAAGGGGCGTAATGGCACTGTTCCCTATGGCCGCCTAAGGGACCATTTAAGCAGGCCACGGCTCCATGGTATTTGAGCACCTGCAAGGCATGGTTGCAAGACCGCACCACTTGGCAGGGCCGGAAAAAGGCCTGTTCGAACATCTGCAAATCTGCGACGATCCGTAGGCACATTGATACATAAATATATTTGATGCTATGGATTTACTAACATACTGCTAGTCATCGATACCGCCGCTAAGAGAAATAATACTTTCTTTTTGATACCGGATTGAAACGGCGTAGTAGTACAGTCTCTATATAGTGATGCGGTTCTGCATTCTTCCACTGCAGATACTCACATACCATGGAACCGTGACCTGCTTAAATGGCCCCATAAGCGACTATAAGCAGCGAAACGGTGCTGTTACGCCGCTCTTATCCGGAATCAAAAGAGTAAGTGCTATTTCTTTTAGCGGAGGTATCAATAACTAACAGTATGTTAGCAAGCCAACATGACTCAACTTAGTGCACAATATGGCCCACTATTACTAAGTGTTTGTTATAGATGTATACAGCAAGCGTACATCCATAGAATCGAACGAAGCCAATGGATGGAGGACTTTCCCTCTTGATTCTATCATTGTGCATTTCATTACGCACCAACTCATCATTTGGCGCCTTATTTCAAAAGGAATCATCTGTGGTGTGGCATCAATTAACCGTTGTTAATCTACAAGTGCAACAAAAGGTAAGGTGACTGAAGAGGTTGGACAATTTAAGAATCTCGCCTCCAAAGACAGCCCCTTCTAGCCAGAGTTAAACAGCAGGATCACCGCCACCTGTAGTGGTTTTTGGTGACCATTCCAGTTTCTGGTCTCAGAAAGGAGTAACTCTTTCCCCAAGAATTTGTCTGTACCTTAAATTTGTCGCATCTGCACTGTTGTGTGGCATGGAGATATTTATGCCATTGAAAGAGCAGTAAAAACGCTTGAGTAGCGCGTAGTAGGTTTGATTTATATGGCAATGTAATCAATTACATTTTTTTCTTTTAGGCGCAGGTACCCTCATTAGATGTTAAGATTAAGAAAAATATTTGCACCATTAGAAAAACTGGTTTAAACTATTTACTCTTGTTCGCAATCTTCTGTTGGAGCTAAAAACTGTGCACGTCAGCCGAAAGACCAGCTTGTACCGGAGAAATAAGGTAGAGGGTGGTCTGCTTTCGGAAAAGAATATTTTTTATGATGGAAAAACTGATGCCTCGTAACAGAAGTATTGAAAAACAGCCAAGGCAACGGATAGAGCGTAGTAGAGACGTTTTGTTTATGAAAACAACTCAAAGGGATGAGTCCAAAATACAACCAAACATTGATTGATAAAGACACACTTTTTAAATTAATCAGTCGATTGAATCCTTAGCCAAACAGCTATTGATAAACTGTAATCTACGCAATACCGCATCGAATATTGTGGGCAATAATGAAAAATGAATAAATCGACAGTAATAGAGCACAAAAAGAGTCTGGGATACAATTGCCTGGGTGAAGAAGTTGCCTGCAATGAGCTGGACGCGACGTCACAAAAAAGGACAAACCATCTCAGTAACAGGGAGACATTAGATTGGGTTCCAAAAGAGAGTAAAACGAGGGTTGGAAGGCTTTCAGGTAGATGGCGGAATGAGTTGAACAAGTTTGCCAGATTAAGAGAGAAAAAAGAAATTAATAGCGAAGTCTTGGAGAGGCCTTCATCCAACAGTGAACCGTAAGTGGCTGTTGCTGATGATGACTATTAATTAGGAGATTGCGACTTTGGCTTTCACGAAAGGTTTTCTAGAAATATTTTCGGTTTGATTATTAAAATCTTTAAGGTGCTGTTTGATGAACCCGTTCGTGAATCGCTTAGCGCATCTTCGCTGCATTTCCGGCTGCTACACAAAAGTCTGTTTCATCTGACTAGTAAATACACTGTGAAACTGCAACAGAAAGTGAAACTAACCTCGATGGAATTCGTCTTTGCGTTCAACATTGAAATTTTGGGGGTCAGACGTGTCGAGATTACGGTCAGAAACCACACGATCGTCCGATGGTCGAAAACTGTCGGTCAATCGAATTCTGTCGGTCACTCGATAGTCGTCCGACGTTTTATGACCTTTAAAAACCGTAGCGATCAAATAGCCTACGAAGAACCCGAAGGAAACAAACATCAGCTCTCGTCGACTGCGCGACAACATGTCATCCATAACAACCCTGAAGAAACTGCTTTGGAACGCCTTTAAGCATGCACCTCGTTAGATGGAGACACGGGCCAACGGGGAGTCACCTTTTTCATAGCATTGCCCTTAATTTCACTGTAGTTCTAGCAAATGTTTCACAGTTTGACTATATCCATGGCGACGTTTACAGGTCAGAGGCCTAAATACCGAGAGTGTAGAAGGTTTTTGCGCAAAGCAAAGTCATTCACTAGGACATTACCACTACTTCTACAAACGGGTATCTTTTTAGAGGCTTCTTGCAGTTACCGGTTACGTGTTTTGCTTTGATTCTTCAAGTAATATGAGTTTTTTGTTTAGAGTTGAATAAAATTTTTATAACGAAATAACCCGTCGTGCTTTGTTCTGCGCAGGAGTGTTTTCACAGAATTCGTGGAATCACTAGACCATTTAAAATCGAAAAGCATTAAACGAGGTTAACGCTCAACATCTCTCAAGCTGGTAATGTGGGCATTCACTGCGCCCTTAGAAAACTATGCAGGAAGAAAGCCTATCGCCTCATTGAACTTTAAGTAGGATTGTAGAATCAATTCATACAGAAAATAGCGCGGATGTTGACTAACTTGCATCTCACTAGAAAGTTCTAAATAGAACAAGTGAAATAACGGTGAAAAGGAAGCCATGCTGACTGGTAGATTGAAATTCACTAGGTACTTTTCAGTTTTCTCCCACATCCTCCCAACGTTATGTTAGTGAACAATGAAAGTGAAAAAACGATTATAGGTGCCAAGAATTGACGGGATGTCGATTTTGGCCCAACTGAGAGATGCTCTTCTCATCCAAGCTTTGTGGGTGCTCCCACGTCAGGGAGCAGTGACCAACTTAACGGGTTTCCTTAGGCGTTCCAGAATCAACGGTTGATGCGATGTTGCCGTGCAACCCAACAAACGACTTAAATAGTCATTGGTTATGACAGTATCCACGTAAAATAACCAAAATTCGATTTGAATTATAAAATTTTACAGAAAGAAGACAAGCAAACGTAGGCGCTTCAAACTGATGGGGGGTCGATTTTCATAATGGACTCTTTCTGTGGTCTCTTCTTTCAGATAGGCTCCTGATACTATAGTTATATTATAAATCATGCGATACTGTTAGCCAAACTGGCCTCAATTTCTATGACGCTACCTATGTTTATTTGGCGAAAACAAGACTCGTATTCTTCACAAAATTATGGGATCGTACGAAGAACAAGTATCTTACATGGAACGCATTGTAAAATATGTCGTTATGTAACAATGCTGAAGGAACTAGCTCTTGCGACTTTCCTATAAAACAATTCGTTGCAGGAAGCATTTTAGAAAATGGAAATATATTCTTATATATTCTTCGTAATAACGTCATAACAAATAGGGCGACAGTCTCGTTTATGCTTTACATCGTTTATTTCCAATATAGGATCTTAAGTTTGAGCGGAAAGGTGTTAACCATTTGACGGTACAACTGATACGCTTCGATTCATTACAGAGCGTTTTTCGCACATGTCCCCTGTATCTCCATCCCTGGGCTTTTCAAAACCAACGTTCGCGTTCTTTAACGGGATTTCAAGCTAATAGAATGTAATGGATGCTTAGATTTTGAAGTTCCCATCAAGGACCTCGAACGGTGTATTCGGAATGGCTTGCCGTTTGGCATCGGCATTCCATGAAGCAGTTATGAACTGCTTCGTCCACTTCTCTTGTCTATTGTACCTCTACATCTCAGTAGAAGATCAGAAATGGTGAACATCCACCGTTACACAGTTCTGAGGGAAATTCAGTGATTCCTGCCTTGGCTCACAAAATGAATTACCCCACGTTGCTTGCTGATAAATAGTATAAGCAGATAATATATGCTTACCAGATAACGCACACTTATGCATCCAATTATTGTTTGCTGTTGTTCCTTAGTGCTGAAGGTTATGGCCATGTCCGTAAATTTAAGCGACAAAATACAGTCGTTCATCATAACAACATTTATACTGGAGGAAAATACGTGCACATCTTAAGAGAATCAAAAGCGATTGTGATTTCAAGGCTGCTCGACATCCGCGTCCCATTCTTCATGTTGGAAAGTGAAATCACATGTTGCGTTAAAACCCCTCTGAGGATAGCAGACGGAAAATCTAAGGACTCTGAACGGGTGCAGAAAGGTGTGGCTTTCCTCTGGTTTGATAATGTAATTGAAAGATTTTGTTTGGGACTGTCCTCATTCCAAAATTTGTTCAGTGCTTCTCTTCTGCCTATTCATCGAGCAATTTTTATAAAGGCTATCGCTTGGGCTGGACAGCACCACTGGCCATCCCGTTTGCAGACGAAACCTCGCTAATGCATGCGTCGTTTTATGGCACGGAATAATACGGATCTCCTTGTTGCAACCGATGAACAAACGAGTGACAGCGATGCTCAAGGTCTTTGTTCTCGGCAGACTGCACGGCAGTTGATCAACGACACAACCGATGACGGCAGTTCAGCAGCTCTGAATTTCCAGAGGAACCATAGTTTTTTGAGGGCAGCACTCGACACTGGGACATGATAGGAATGATGCAGACTGTGATCAATGGTCCACGTTAGGCAAACTAGGACAAGAGTGTGATAAAAACGTTCTGCGAACGCTCTCAAAATCCGGAAGCAGGTAGT